GGATGCCAGTGACTATATTCTCGAGGCTATGGATGATAAGAAAAGGAGTGTATAGATAGATTTTAGTAAAGTCTTCAATTCTGTTTTTTAAACTTTTTCAATTTGGGATATGGGGTTCAGTGTTGGAGTAGTTTAATGGTTAACTAATTAAGTACAATATTGACCTATACAAACATAGCATCACATGCAATTCAAGAATCTTCGGGTCCCATTCAACACTTGATTTTTATTCACATTAGTACACTGTGGTGAAATGTTATTGGTTCTTTGTAATATTGCACGGAATAAATATAACTGCTATGTATAAATATAACACCACAGGATATATTGGATTTGCAAAATGCACTTAAAACCTTTGATGCTTAATGCAAAAATAATGAATTAATTTTAAATCCAAGTAAATGAAAAATTATAACCTTCACCAGATCTTCATTGGTAGTAAACACTGATTATGTAATAAATTCTATGGTGTTGGAGAGGATGTCATCTACAAGAGAACTTGGGTGAGGTCTTTGACTCCAGAATGTTCCTTTGAAGAGCCAACTGTTCTCCCAACAAAGCAACTGTACTCAGTACTAATGTACTCATCTGTAGCGTGGGTCCCATTTATCGCCATACATATAAATCAATTGGTAACTGTACAGCAGAAGTTCTTCTGGATTGCTGCATGTACTATGAAGTTTGGTGACCCTCTCATTGACCATGAATATGGAGAGAGATCAATGCTTTAGTATTGTCTGTCCGATCAAGTAGGAATGTTGCAAATTTAGTTTTCTTGAGGAAATTACTAAATGGTAACACTGAACCATTTTTGCTGCAACAGTTTAACTTAAAGAATGCCACCATTCCAGTTAAGATCTGATCTATTTGGGGGTCATTGGTACAAGTATTTATATTCAGCAAACACTCCTGTTAATAGAACATCCATCTAACTGCTAACACAACTGAATTCGAGTTGATTGAGAATACAAATGCAGTAGTTTTGAGGTGTGTCAGAGGCTTGAGCAGATTCGCATAATATATAATTTTTAATACGCTTGAATAAGTTATTTTTTTTGTACAAATGAAGAAACTGTCTGTAAATTACAAATAAATAACTAGAGCTAGGTGCTACAGAATGGTACAGATTGTACTATTTAGTTTCCTATTTGGCATCTAAAAGACTAACAGTACCTACCGCTTCTCTGGAGTTTCGTGAAGTTTCATGCACCCTGAACATCACTAAGACCAATCTCGATCTTGCACTTTCATATATTTGCTCAAGGCATTCCTTCGCCTCACACAGTACTTGTACTATTCTGGGCGATTGATCCAGTTCCTCAATATCACAAACAGATTGTACACAGTTGCCTTTCAGGCCAAACGTTTTTAGAAGGATTATGGTAGAGATGTAATACACAAGGGACTCAGAATGGCCCCCACTCCTCTACACAACTGAAAACAATCATGTCTTAGGTTCAAACTCACATCCTTAGTGTCCATATCCTTTGGCCCATGTACCCCCAACTCGCATAACCCAATCACTTGACTGTACTAATTGTAAATGTGTAATGGCTTTGTAATATAATAATTTGATAAAACTATTAGTTATATAACTAAAATCTGGCTTTTTTATGCATACATGACCTTTCAAATTCTTTTGTAACATTGAAACCATATCTTAATCATTAACATTGTATCTGAACAACTGAGACAATTTTTTCCATAGTTTCATTCACTGCAAAGCAACTTCAGCATCAAAATCTTTTACATGAAATTCAGTAATAAATTATATGTAGTATGTATTATGTAATTATGTAGTATTGTATGTATTATATGTAGTAGAACATAATATTCATAGCATGTATGAGTTAACAGAATAGTTAACTCTACTTTCATGTAATATTTATATAAAGGAAATAGTGTTTTATGAAACAAAAACAGAAACAAAACAAAACAAAAAATTCTCAAATTTTTGTTTCCCTAAGAGTAGAATGGAAACATGACTTCACGAATATTATAGAAAAGTAAAAACTGGTTTGAAATGCAAAATTCCATTGAAAAATTAGAAACCGCTTTTAAGTAAATGGCGATTTAGTGTATCTGAAAATGTGCAAATCTGAACTAAGTTTTCTTTGAGTTTGAGAGAAAAAACTGTCGAGTTTTCAAGAAACTTCATAAAAAATCATTTGAGTACTCAAAAATGCAATCATGTATAAAATAATGCCCATTATATAAATATTAACAAGGTGAGAGACCTTTTAAAAAAGTTTATTTTCATAACGTTTTGAAACATCAAAATGGTGCGAGTTTATTCAGTGTTTAAAGGAAGAAATTAGGAGTGGTTTTGAGAAAATCTTGTTTTTAAAATTACAGCAATTTCACTGAAAATAAAACAAAAACTATTAGTATTGTCAAAACAATATGCATAATATTAATTAAAGAATTAGCAGAGGAGAACAAATTTCATTTGGAGGAAAAAAAAAAAAAAAACAAAAACCCTTTAATAATGGAATAATACGAGGAAGTACCAAAAATTTAAAAGTTTTGCAATTTACGAAAATTGAGAGTTAACAGTGACTATCAGAAACCTATGCCATCTAGTACATGCATTTCACTCTATTTTTACATGAAATCTAAAGAAAAAATTAGGAGCCATTTTTGAGAAAATTTTGAAAATATTCCAGGAGCTCCATGTGAAGTTACACCAAAATTAAAAGATTTTTTTCAAAATTACAGTGCTTTATGTTGGACCAGATTGATCAGGGATTAATAATTTTGGAACAAAAATCTTACCAATTGTTTGGACACAGTCGTTTGGCAGAAAAACCTTTTTCATTACATGTATTTCCATTAATCTCTTGAAATCGATTTTCTGCAACATTCCACAACTTTCTCTTGTATTACATACATTACTCCAGATATACATACATATTAGTTAAAGTAACATTTCAAATATTTGTAGAACGAGTTGTAAGCATTCAAAAGACACCATTGAAAATAATAGGTCATTCTTGCACCAGCATGATTAATTAGGTAACTATGTGTGTTATTAATGCCATAATAACTATTTTATTTTATTTCATCAAATTTCCACTTGAGATAATATCAATTTTCAATAAAATAATGATCTATGAATTTTACATCTCATCTATTTGAAATATAGTACTATGGATTCATAAAACAGAAAATCTACAATTACTTTAAGAACGAAAACAATGAATAAAATGTATATATGTGTATTTATCATGGAATGTTCAAAAATATACTGTACAATATATCCCAGCTTACCAGAACAAATTTCTGGCAACCACTTCATTCTCTAAGCACTATTATCTGTTAACGTGTGTAAATAGAAAACAAATCTCACAATAATATCAATTTTCTTAAGTATATTATGAAACCCCACACAGTTTTATTCAAGAATTTACAACAATACAGTCACAAATCACATTAATAAAAAACATTCCTTTCTGCATTTGGCTATAAAATACTTTGGAGTAATTAAAATATAACAGGCATAACAATGACTAAGTAGATATACACATTCTTTACAAATAAATAACAAAATGATTGACAAGATGGGCACAGTCAAATATATGTTATACAAATGGTAACTGGGCTAATAGGAATAATATAACTGACATTTACAAATTACAATTTACATCTCAATCACGATGAAGTATTATTTTAGTACAGTAGCCTTTTGCAGCTCAGCAATCCATCTGAAAGAAAGTAACATGAATTTACTGTCCATTATATTTGTAAATTTATCATTTTTAGCATATACCCTTACCGATTGACTAAATTTTCACTATCAGCTGAGAAAACTAGGGGCTGTTGATTTGGGTGTGCTAATTGGAAGACCAACTTTGCATCAATTCCCTCATACAACTGAAAGTGAATCTGAAAATGATGAATTGATTAATGAACAATAATAAAAAGAAAAATAATACAATCATTGCCACATTTCCCCAGATAGCTATTGATTAATATCATTAAGTATACCTAATGAATTACAAATACATTCATCATTCATATCAGAAACAAACATCACATGAGGTAAAAATTGGCAGTGAAAGTGTTGAAAGATTTATGGAAGAGATTATGTTATACTACGCACTGATGCAATGTATGACTGGCAATGTAGGCAATTACATGAACAGACAGAAGAGGGACAGAGAAGGGAAGAAAGAAAAACAATCCACTTGCTTGCATGCACACATACAAAAACATGAGTGTGTGCTAAAATCAAGTTTCAAAAAATAAACATAAACACTCAAAGGAGAGCTGCCAATAAAAATGCAAATTTTTCTCCAGCAAAACACTTTGTGGGTCCCATTTCCTGATACTAGAAAGCATTTTTCTTGCTCTTATACTTAGCAAAATACTTTCTCATAGTTGGAATCGCCTGGTGTAGTTAGGATCCACATTATTCCCCCTAAGCATGACTGATTTGGTCGAACTCTTTTATGGGGGGGAGGGGGGAGGAGGAGTCTTGAGAAGCTTGAGCAGTGAAGGGCTGTGAGGAAGAAAAGAGCTCCCCAGGTAATCAATTGTAAACATTAATATATTTAAAATTTACAGAGTTGGGTTTTCTCTAGAGTAAATTATGCATGCTACAAGTGCAGACTTTTTAGAGGGGATGCCACCAGTAGTCTGACAAATGGCCGGTGTCCCAATTTTCTAGTGACCAAAAGAACAAGGTGTTATGAGACTGCAATAAACATCAAACATGATTCAGTAAATAAAACGGGTGACGTAGCAAAAGGACCTAAAAGAGAGGGAAAACCCAAGCCTTGTAATAGCTAGAATTAGCGAGGAGTGACAATCAATATCAGATTTTGTCTATAAACTATTCTATTTATGATCCCAATCCAGGTATTACATTTACAGTAATCCCTGAACGCTCATTAGAGTTAGGTCCCCAAAATGCATTGCAAATGTTGACTATCTTTTAATGAAGAGAGGGTTAGGTTCCTGGATATCCAAAATCTCTTTAACAAAGAAAGAAAAAATACCTGAAAACAATTGCAGTATAACTAAGTAAGTGCTAGTACATACACAACTCACAAATAACATCCCAAAGAGAAGAACACACTCGTTAATAAGTGTAGGGTGGTGTGTGTGGGGGTGGAATGTGTGTGTGTGGGTGGGTGGAATGTGTGTGGGGTGTGCATGTGTGTGTGGGGTGTGTGTGTGGGGTGTGCGTGTGGGGGTGTGCGTGCGTGTGGGGGTGTGCGTGCGTGTG